CATAAAATTGGTGTCTTGCTTGTGTGATGCTTGTTTTGGTTGTTGATTTGTTCTCCTATCTTGTTTGTGATTTCGATTCCGATGCGCACAACAAGTGGTATCAGAGCTCCGGGTTGGCTTGGGGTTTGATTTGAAGGAGAAAGCTAGGGTTTCTACAAGGGATTTCATCTTCCAAGGTGTGGTGGAGAAATCAAGTGGAGGATCTGGTGTGGATTCTCATTTGAAGAGATTGGATTATCAAAATAACCGAAGCAAGTACATTGAGATCATCCTTGACTAAGACGATATAAGGATTGAGCATTAATAATATAAAAATTGATGTTTAAAAATTTGTTGGCAAGATAAATTTTGGTTTGTGGAGGTGTCAAGTGATGGATGCATTAGACGCCCAAAATTTAGAGGAGATAAATTTTGGTTTGTGGAGGTGTCAAGTGATGGATGCATTAGACGCCCAAAATTTAGAGGAGACTCTTGAATTACAAGGTGTCAAGTGATGGATGCATTAGACGCCCAAAATTTAGAGGAGACTCTTGAATTACAAGAGAAACCCGATGATATAGAGGATCAGGTTTGGAAGAAAATAAATAATAGAGCATATGGGATTATTAGATCATGTTTAACGTCGGATTTGATTTATGATGTAATGAATAAAACATCAGCAAAACGGTTGTGAGAAACACTCAATGAAGAGTCAACTATTATGCAAAAGAAGGTGTTGACTGAGTTCATGAAGAGTCAACATCTTGATTAGAGTAGTGGAAGGTTGGTTGCCTAGCTTTTGGGATATTTTTGTGAAACTAGCTAATTATATCAATGCTTGTGTAATTATTTTTGTATGTAAATGAGCTAGATGATTGCTCATCCTTTTGCCTAACAACTATGATAGATGTATTAAACTTACATTTGTGCAAAATTAATGTTACTATCTCTATCTTCATGCATCTCAGTCGTGACTTTAAATGTTATATTGAATATTAGTTTGCTAATATCAAACTTGTTTGATAGGTTTACAAGTGGTTTAATAGTGCTGTATTTGGAGAATTGCATTCTTGTGGTTTCAGTTGTGTTCCAACATGTCGGTATTCATTTGTTTGGCCTTTGGTTTTAGTTGTTGCTTGGCCTATGGTTAATTTTGTATTTCAGTTGTGTTCCAACGTGTCTGTATTCATTTGTTTGGCCTTTGGTTAGCCTTTGGTTTCAATTGTTGCTTGGCCTTTGGTTAATTTTGTGTTTCAGTTGTGTGCTTTTTTGGGGTTCAATTAGTACTCTTAGAACGGAGTAGCTTGTATGACTTTTATGTGTGTGATTGGTTGTGATCGAGCAAGCCAATAAATAGAGTTTCAGTTGAAATGTAAAAAAATAGTATATTAATTTCATGGACAACCTATAGCCTTGGGGATAGTTGACATGTATATATCTTTTTCTCTCATACATAGTTGTGTGCTTGCCTTTGCATGGTTTCAGCCATGGTTCCAGTTTGAGTTGTTGCTTGGCCAACCAGTTACAGTTTCATGCATACATGCTCAGTTTGAGCTTATTATTTGATGGAGCTATGTCATTTGATTATTCTGAATTTACAGCCTTGCTCAGTTTGAGGTCAATCATGATTACATGCTCAGTTTGAGCTTGCCTTCTGAATTTCCAGCAAAGATCTGTTTTCAGTTGTGTGCTTGCTAATTGTTGCTTGTCCTTTGGTTTCAATTGTTGCTTGCCCTTTGGTTGATGTTGTGTGCTTGGCCTTCGTGTGCATGGTTTTAGCCTTGCTCTCGGCCTTAGTTTCAGCTCCTGGGTTGGTTATGAAGTTGGTTTCAGTTGTGTCCTTTGGTTAGCCTTTGGTTTCAGTCCTTGTTTGGCCTTTGGTTTCAGTTCTGAATTTCCAGCCTTGTAAGTGGTTTCAATTTGGTTTTAGTTTGGTTTCAGTCTTGCTCTCGGCCTTAGTTGGTTAGCTATGGTTGGGCTTTGGCTTTAGTTGTTGCTTGGCCTTTATTTCAATAGTGTGCATGGTTTCAGCCTTGCTCTCGGAATCAAATTCAGCTCTTGGGTTTCAGCTATGGTTGGCCTTTGGTTTCAGTTGTTGCTTGGCCTTAGTTTTAATTTTGTGCATGGTTTCAGCCTTCCCCTCGGCCTTGGTTTGAAGTGCCAAAAGTCGATTTGATAGTGTTATGTCATTGTTGCTTATTGTGTTATTGTCATTGTTGCCATCCTCATTGTTGAAATGGTTGTTATGTCATTGGTAATGTGATATTTTGCTATGATGATGGCCGGATATATAATGTATGCAACCAAAGTTTATATTAATAATCAATTGGCGAGACAATAAATGCAGCCAACATTGCTATTATAAACTTTATGACGATGCAGATAATGAAGAAAAGGGCCTTTTCTAAGCACATTTTCTATAAATTGTGTTAAACTTTGGTTTGATTTCAATCTTGGGTTGTTCAAGTCTTAATTGGTTTCTCTCGAGTTGGTTTCAGCCTTGGTTTAGTTTTGGATATTTTCAGATTTGGTTTGGCCAAAGTTTGTTTGGTTTCAGTCGAGTTGGTTTCAGACAAGTTGTGTGCTTGTCTTCTGAATTTTCAGGCAATGTGTGCTTGCCTTTTGAATTTGCAGCCAATTGAGTGCATTACATTATATTTTGTGTGCCTATATTTTTGTTGTTAATATTTTGTCTTATATGGGTGGTAATCGCACCATGGTGACCACAATCAAGTTTTCTTAATTTTTTTAGTTTGCACCAAACACTAGAAAATGAGGGGAATCTATTCACACATCAATTGTTTTCTTCTTTTTTCAAGTTAAACCAAACTAAGAAAAGTGCTGGAAAGTACTTTCAACCCATATTATTTTTTGGCGAAACAAACACAAGAAACACTTTTCATGAAAGTGAAGGAAACAGAAAAAAGTGAAGGAAAATGGGTTTTGGAAAATGATGGAAATGAACCAAACAGACCCTAAAAATAAGAATAACATACAATATTTCATAAATAAGCATACAAAGACTAATAGTGCACATCAAAATTATGCTTTTCTAGAAAGACTTTACTGAGGCCACGCAAATCCCTTTGCTGCAATAATTAAACCATAACTCCCAATCAATTACAAACTTAATTACATAACATTCACTTGAATAACTCAAAATAATACCAACCCAGATGACCAAAAAAACAAAAAACAAAAGAGCAATTACTGTAAATACAACTAAATCTAGTCGTATAGAAATAAAGTTAAATTGTAATTCTACAATTAATGAATAAATCAAATTTTCCATGAAATCAAGAAGAAAGTTGGAATTTTATAAAAAAATGAACTCCTTATTAAAAAGAAAACCGGATTTATCAAATAAAAACCAGAGGGGAAAAAATTAAACAAAGAGGTATTAATTTCCATGAAATCAAGAAGGAAGTTGAATTCTTTATTCAAAAAGACGAGGAGGGCGATCTGACCTCCGATATCTTTTTCCTCGTTGGCAGCGATGTCGAGGGACTCCTCCTTGTCTGTGATTGGCGTCGGAGGTCGTCATGGCGGTTATTTGAGAAAGAGATTTAAGAGAGAGAAGCTTAGGAGAGAATGAATAAGGACTGCGTGTTAATCAAAGTCGGACTCAGAATCGGAGTAGAGCTAGGGCATCAGGTTTGTGAATGGATCTAGAATTGGGAAGGGGGAGAGAGAGTGGGGGGTGGGGGAGTGTGGTTTCGTAGAGTGTGGTTTCGTAGAATGTGGTTTTGTAAAGTTGTAAAAACCGATGGTTTTGTTTTTAAAATTTGAATCAAATATCTTTGTGAGTTGATCAACCGTTTATTTAATCTGAAAAAAGAAAAAAAAAACTTATGAGAAAATGAGCAGGGACTGCATGTTGATCAAAATCGGACTCGGAATCAAGGGCAGCGGATTTGTGAATTGATCTAGAATTGGGAAGCGGGAGCGAGTGTTGGGGGGAGGAGAGAAAATGTGTGGTTTCATTGAACGTTGTTTTGTAAAGTTGTAAAAACCGGTGGTTTTTTGTTTTTGAATTTTCAATTAAATATCTTTGTGATTTGATCAACCGTTCATTTAATCTGAAAAAGGAAAAAATATAAAAGAAACTAATTTAGGGTTTGGTGAGACGACTAAGGGTCCAACAAAACACAGTTCATTTGGGATTGAAATTCAATTGCAAAAGGTTTATTTTTAGTTATACAGTAGCTGGTGAGACTAATAGTCTCGTGTATATAGATAGTTTGCCAATAATTGCTAC